ACAAACTTCCAAAGTTTCAATTTTTCAGCGTCTCTGAAGATCTGCATCAGTTCCGAAGGAGAGAGACAGATCCGATTCGGTCTTCTCTTCAAAATAAAAGCTTCTCATGAGAAGTTTTAAAATACAACTTAATGGAGCTTCAAAGCTGGTTATTTTGGTCACGATTGACGGTATCGTGAGCCTAGGCAAAGGATTTGCTCATTAGCGCTAGAGTCAGATCTGATTGCCAAATGCTGATTTTTCCTGAGGAGGAAAAATCAGCTTCTCTTCGTTGGACGAAGATGGTGTCTTCTGTCTGTCGAGAGCTCTGTCCCAGGGTTAGTAGTTTCTACAGAGAGAAAAACACTAAGGGTTGTGGCCTCGAATTTTGTGTTAGTAACAGGTGGATCAGAAGCTTAGTCTAGGGAGCTGTCTAATAAAATCTGCACCTGCATAAAAAACAAATTTGGACCTTGACAGGATTAATACTGAATGACAAATAGGAGTGAATTATTTAAACTAAAATAAAACTTAAGATATTTGTCTAAGATTCAAGCACAAATACCATATTTCATAATAAAGCATAGTGAACTAAATCACAGTGATCAATTTAGATAAATTGAAAAATAAAACAGAAAAACACAATCATCTTACTGTCAAATAACAGTTACAAAGATTTGTATAAAACAATTAAACATTAGAACAATATTTTTGTGTGTTTTTTCTTTTTCTTAATTATAATGCAAAAAGATTGGTATCATGCTTTTCATTATGTAACTTTGATTTATAAATTGATGATAACTTTTAGTTAAAAGAAAATATAAATCAAAAATGTAAAGAACATTGTTTTGTTTATTATCTTGATTAAAGAAAATAAAATGTCTCTTTTGAGAGAGGTCTTGTGAGACCAGGGTGAAAGACAGGTGGAAATGTTTATTCCCCCTYGGGGTGATCCCTAGAGCACCAAAAACTCCAATTGTGCTAAGCCGAGACCACTGCATCAGCAGGATGAGCCTAAACTAAACTAAAATGTGGAGAGGCAAGGCAAAGTCAACAAACTGATAAAGAGCAAAGGAAACCCTGGGAACATTTACACACAGAAGAGTGATGACAAAAGAAGCTGCAGGTGGGTCGACTGAAAGAAACCTGTTGTGAGTAAAAAGTTAAAGTTAAAACACACGCACGCACGCACGTACACACGCACGCACGCACACGCACACACACACACAATAAATAAACAAAGGGTAGTACTGGGCACCATGTCTTTACAAAAGAACCCCTAAAATATGATTTTGATTACTTACAAAAATCTCTTTATTTGTAGCCACAAGTTTTATCTCCTGCACTAAAATTAGTAACATATTGCTGTTTATATCAGCATGAAAAAGTATGAGATCGATAAGAACTAACCCTGTTGGTTCAGTTCATATGTTTTGAAGTTGTGTTTAATTAAAATTTGGCGAAGATTTCTAGCCAATATTATTGCAGCCTGGAACAGAGAAAACATGAAGGACTGGCGTGTTGAAACCTGGGCATTTTGGCTGCGAACTTCAACACCCAGAATCCACAGAGACTTTGAACCGCAATGAAATTACGATACATGTGCAACGCTGCTTTATTGATATGTGAAGGGTGATTAATGTCACTGCCGCCTCCAGTGCAGGCAAATGAATCACTTTGTAACGCTGCAATCTTGATAAGAGCTACAGAGGGGGATCAATAAGAGCGAAGCGGGAAAGTGTGTCTTCAGTCTGCCTATACTGATGAAAATGGAGACTTTTTCCCCCCATCACTCATCAATCAGCTTGGTTACTAATCACCTCAGTTCTCTAATTAGCAATGGAATGAAAAGCACTGAAGGTGAAAGTCATAAATACTTAATGCATGTGAAGTGTGCTTTGTTGGAGAAAGAATTCACCAGGTTTTAGTGCGGCGAGTCTCGGTTTCGGTGCTGCAGAGGAAAAGAGACTTGCTGTGTTGTCACGTAAAGTCAGACTGACCAAAAGAGTCTGTCAGCAGAAGCCAAAGTATTAATAGCTTTGACCTTTTGTAGTAAAAACCTGCAAGTAAAACATAAATACGTTTTGTCAGTGGTAGAATGCCATATCCCGTCTCTGTAATTACTCTGCACCAAACGTGTCAAGTTAAAGTGAAAACTACAGTTAAAGTAGTTACTAATACTAGTTTTCATTGTTGCTTTAATGAAATCCTCATCAGAATTTTTAATTATGACCCCCGCACGCGAAGCGTAAGCAGGAGTCTTATTATTTTCGTACTGTTTAATATGACCCCTGCACGCGTACAACCATAGCACAAAAACGGCTGCACCAATCAACATGAAATTTGGCAGGGCTGTAGATGAGTCTGACCTACACTGCGCCAGCCAACGGTTTTACAATATACCCCTTATTTGAGGAGGGGGCTCCTTTCAAAGTGGGGGTGTCAGGACATGCAAAAATGCTTATAACTCAAAAACTAAAACATAGAAGCTTCAGATTTCTTTTGTTTAGCTCTGATGAAGCTCTATCCATCAGGCCCATCAATCAGTACCCCCCACCCCYGGACCCCCAATTTATCTGAAAAAGGGGTATCTGGACATAGAAAAATGGTTATAGCTCAAAAACTATTAAACACAGGTGCTTCAGATTTCTTTGGTTGTTTAGCTCTGTTGAGGGGCTATCCGTCAGGTCCATCCGGTGCATTTCTGCGTGCGGGGGTCATTATGTTACTGCTATGCGGTATTTAGTTATTATTTTATCATTAGTTGGTATTACTACAAGACATGGTAAAATAAATGGTAGAAAAAAATCTAACTTTCCAAAAGTTTTTAATTTATCAAATTAAATGAGGATGAAAGCAAAAATTTGTCTTAAATTTTTGTTGAAAATATATTTTCTGTCAGTTATTTATTGATTTGTTGATTTATTGTTTAGCTGTAATTACAGCTGCTCATTATTGTGCAATTAAAATCCATTCAGCGTTCTGACCGTGGTTAATAGTGTTTGGTTTGAGCCCTTTAAATAGATGGCTTCTCAAATATTTGGGTTGTTTGTTGAAACTGTCTTGGATTRTGTTTCCCTTAATGTTGCACACATTTATCTTACAATAGTCTGTTTTCTGTAACTGTGTTTCATCACTTTGCAAGATTTAAATAAATGATTTCATTCCGTTTAGAGGGGAAACATTCTGAAATTGTATTTTTATGACAAATGGTAAAGAACTTAATGCATTCTGTACATTRTGTATCATTGATAATTTAAGACATTTGGCTTGAGGTTTTTTTCCTCAGGCTTGTTCTCAGGAATGGACAAGGAAAGAAAAAGATGCACGTTTCCCCTCAGAGCAGACTAATCTGCATACTGCTGATAATATTAACATTTCGTTGCCTCGGGATGTTTCTAAAACAACCCAATCCAATTAAAATCTAGGCATGACCCGTGCTATCTCTTAGCTTTCACATCTAATAGTTACAAAAATGAATCAACCTTAAACTTTAAAGCAGAAATATTAGTATTGATATCCAATGTGGTTGATGTGCTGCTTTATGTTTTGAGTGGAATTTCTCCATTTATGAATTATACATTAACTGGTGTATCATCCCAACAATCACTACACCACAAAAGATGTTAAAAGGTAGAATCAGAAGTGATGTCTTGGTGCAGTGATTTGTGATGCATTGAGTTCCAATCAATACAGTTCTTAAGACCAGCAGTGGAGAGGTCAAGTCATGATTGACCTTTGGTGTGTGCATCCATATTATTTTGCCTTTGTGTTTCTGGCTATATAGACACATAGCAGACATTTTTCTCATTTTGGCCTTCTGTCTTTGCCTTTTAATGTAAAATCCTATAATATATGACCATTATTTTCTGGGTGTTATCACATGGGGGGTTAGGTTAGTGTGATGGACACGCAGATGGTGCTGAGATTGCCTGACAGGCGCATGATATGTGCCGTTGCTTTATCTCACTCCTACACCAAAGTCTGTCACTTGCAGCGTGCTGCTGAATGCACAGGGACACATCGCCAGCAGGTCCTTGTACTTGTTTGATACACTGAACTGTTTAAACTGTAAGATAAAAGACAGTTAGTAGATTAATTGATTTATCAGTTACTGACTTATTGAACGTTAAAAAAAAATCAATCCAAGGACATATAGATCTGAGCAAAGTCCAAAATTGAGACAAATGAAGAATACAAATGAACAAAATACAAATGAACAAAGTGAACCTTATAAGTCAAAGGCAGAATGGTTTATAACTATATACTAAAATCTAGATTCACACAAAATAACAAAATATACAGACACTGACAATAATAGGCAGTTTTGTTTAGCGAGTGGTTTTACCGTCCAGTCCTCACGGGCATGAAAGTCTGAGTACAGCTGAGGCCTGGAGGTGTGCAGTTGGGTGACATTAGGGTGGCATCTCTTTTATTTGTGGATTGTTTCAGCTTCATTGGACCATGATCTAAAATGCCCAGTGGAGTGATTTGAAACTGAGGGTCGTTTCCGTAGGTTGTCCGATTGCTCGGTTCACAACAGMACTGAGAACGTTATCTGGACGGAAGATTTCAGACCCACTGGTGTTTTCAGTCATGAGCTTTGTTAAAGCAGGGTTGAGTGCTTGGTCAGCTTTGATGTGGATTATAAATGAATTCAAGACAAAATAACTGTTTGAATTCTAAGAATCTAAATTCCTTCTTTTGCATACAGCTTTAACTGAAAGAATGAGTTTGGGGATATAATCTGCTGAAACAAGGTTCATGAACCGCACATAGCATTATGGCTCGAGGCACTCAGGGATTTTAGAGGGCCTCATTATTCAAATCCTGGATGATTGCTGTCTAAAATTAAATGCAAAGGTAAATCTTTAGAAAAGGGTGCAGGATAATAGAAGGGCAAGTGTTTGCTGTTCATTCAGAAAGACTTTCTGAGAACGTGAATATCCTGTATTTTTAGGTATTTTAATTAAACATGCTTGTTTTGACTCTTTTTTTTCTGTTTGTCTTTACTCCTAAAGATCACCAAGCAGCAGCTTCAGCAGACCAAGGATCGCTTCCAGGCCTTCCTGAACGGAGACACGCAAATTGTAGCTGATGAGGCATTCATCAATGCCGTGCAGAGTTACTCCGAGGTACTAACACACCGTATAATACACTCACAATTCCATTTTCTTTTGGCTTAATACGTTGAAATAATGACCGTGTTTCGCATTCTTGTTATGTATCTCATTAAAACTTTTGTCTTGAGCCCAATAATGAAAAGTGTGTGTCGATGCATGCGTACTGCATCTTCTTGATTAAATCTGCGCCCGGTTTTAAACCAAGTCTGATAAGTCAAACGGCGCTGCTGAGTTTCTGTGCCACTCCATGTCAGAATGTCTGAATTCAGAGGGCTGTGTGGTAAAATGGTGGTGGAAGCTTTTCACTGCACAGATTATGAGTCAGAGCATGTGGTTGACACAGTCATTTTTTTCTTCTTTCCCCCAGCCTCACTATTCAATCTGTAAAAGTCATTATCGCCATGCATACAGTAAAAAATACCCAGAATTAAATTTGACATGGTAATGAATAAACATTAAATGGAAATGTGTCGTTAAGGAGGTCACATACATGTATTTCTTCTCCCTTTTTTTGTAAGTTAATGACCTCTGYAGATTGTGAAAGCAAAACATAAATCTGTTCATTTTATTTAATGATAATTTGACAGTTTGTCTTTGTAAGGTTGTGTAATTTCAGGATTAAAGCTGAATTCTTCAAAACATTTTTTATAACTGATATAAATCCTGTCCTGTTTATCATCAGAGTCCAATCATACTTAAAGAAAAAGACATTTCGAGGAGAGAGACTGAGTGTGGTTCCTGCTTTAACTTTCCCTTTTGTGCTCTATTACTTTCTACCAGACRCTATAAATATGTGAATAAAATATAAGGAGCAGTGCGTGGTAAAATATGGTTCCTAATAAAAGTTTTAAAGGTAACAAGTCTTACAATACATTTAACTTTTCAGTTTGTTCTTACCCTTAAATGTGTTCTATAGGAGTGAGCAGGAAGCGTTTGCTGCCACAGGCACTCGTATTAAACAACAGCACAGAACATTTGTTAGTTTGTGAAGTACAGGTCTTATATCTGAAGAGCTTCTCTTAACAAGATGCAGAGCCTTCTGCAGGAGGTTCACGCTGCTTTAATGCTTTCTAACATTTTTTTTCCTATTCGCTGGTTGCACTTTAGTAAGAAAACGGCATCATATTAAAATATACAGTATAATTTAGGGTTGAAAATACATCATATTTTACATGTACTTTTACATTTGAAATGTTCATTTCAAATGTGAAAGTACAACAAAAGACACCAGTTGTCCATCTAATCAAGGCTTATTCTTTTATATCCAGCCAAAAAGTATTTTTGCTCTTGTTTTGAGACTGTTAATCTTGTTAGCCTGGAATTTTTTATTTTAAAAAAATCTAACCATTTGTTTCCCTGCACTATTAGATAATTCCAATTAATTTGAAAAGATTCAGTGTATAATGTATTTAAAAAAAATATTTTAGATGGCTAATTTTTTGCAGTGTTCAGTTAGTTTGGCAAACTCAAAAGTTTTTCACAACAATTCTATAGAAAACATTAGTGTGAAAGAAAGTGTTTTAAGTCTTTGCTTGAATTCTGCTGCATTTTAAAGAGAGGAATGCTTTCAAACACCAAGGTCTGCAGAAAATCTAAGAAGATTAGCAAAAACATCCATGTATTTCATTCATAAAACCCTTTTTTTAAACATCGTCTAAAGGAATGCACCCATGTACTTAGATGCTTTTAAAAGCTGCTTCTTTGAAGCCAAAGAACAAAATGTGACTGTCACTGTGACAAATGCTGTCAGCTTGGATGGTTGCTTCACTTGATGCGACGGCAGAATTTTTTTTCCTGACTTTGTTCGTGTTAGCTTGTTTTTTGTTTTGTTTTTTTTAAACAAAGGCATTCTGCCTCCTGCTAAATTGCAGCAACACGCACGTCAGCATGATCATTCTGCACAAAATTTTCCTCAGTTTTGTTTTGCTGAAACATCTCTGCAGCGGATCTTTTTATTTTGTACTACTATGTTTGTTTTTCAAGTTTAGTGAAAAACTATTTTTAAATGTGCAAGAGAAGGGTMATTGAAATTTACATTAATTTGCATGAACGTCAAATAAATACTCATGCAAAAATAGCTTAAAGAATCCAAATCCTAAAATGAAAAAGACAAAAACTGACTTGTAGTGTTTTTTTGCTAGATAACAAAGGAATCATCGTTACAGCYCTTGCACATTCCAACTACCGGCCCATATTTCTCACCACAGGTGTTTCTAAAGAGTGACCGGGTGGCTAAGATGGTCCAGAGCGGCGGCTTCTCAGCCAGCGATTTCAGAGAAGTGTTCAAGAGGCACATTGAGAAGCGYGTCCGAAGTCTGCCGGAGATCGACGGACTGAGCAAGGAGACGGTGCTCAGCTCCTGGATGGCCAAGTTTGACACCATCTACCGTGGCGACGAGGATCCACGAAAGGCTCAGCAAAGGATGACGGCCAGCGCAGCTTCCGAGCTGATCCTCAGCAAGGACCAGCTGTATGAGATGTTTCAGAACATCCTCGGCATCAAGAAGTTTGAACACCAGTTGCTTTATCAAGCCTGTCAGGTGAGTGATTTAACCTGCATGCGACACAGTGTTCTTATCTTTTGATGTGGCATTATGTAAGAAAAAAGATTAGGAACTTAATCTTTTAGGCTACATAAAGGAGAAGCAGAGTTTAATTCTTTCTGGACTGACAAGCTAACAGGCAGTGAGACCAAAGTGGATCGTTGCCAACTTCAAACATCTCAAAAAAAAATATATATATATATATTAAACTGCAAATTTTGCATTATATGGTTATTCCTGCAGATAAATATTGTAATATACCTCCTAGAAGTATCCCAGGATGCACCAGATTTGCTCGATCTAGCTGCTGCTACCACTGCTTGTGCATGCAGATAATAGTATATAAACTTTTTAACTATTCATGCATTCTAAACTGAAAGTGATGTAAAGGCTTTATATAAATACAAACACATGCATCACTATGAAATGTTTGAGATTGGAGTTGTTTTAGGACAGCAGTAATCCACTCCATGACCCTGCTGGAACTAGCGGTTAGCTTGTTAATCCTGTCAAAAGGAATTTTTATTCGCGCCGACCAGAGGCCATTCAGACAGCCAGCTGCAACAGGGGAAGATTGTTTTTCATGAACTTCAAAAAGATCTAAAATACTGCTTTTAAGTGTTAGCTCAATCAATGCACTAGTTTTACCTTTACTCTCCTGTTGAAGTGATTTTTCAGATATTTCCCCTTTGCAATACGTGATTCCAGTTTTCATCTCATATTCAACTCATCCAGTCATACAGCAGTACATCTTGTTTCTTACCTCTGCTAGCATGTAAGCCATGGCATTAAAAAGAGATGCTATAAACTCAAATAAGTATCCTTGAGATACATCCCTTGATACCAGGCCAGTAATACTTTATTGTCAGGGACATATGTTGAGATTGCTGGTAGATAATAGTGGACTCTGGGGTGCTTGTGTCACACATAACTCTCCTTCCCTTGCTGTCTTTACTGCTCTCTTTGGGAATGCTGAAAGCAGCAGTAATGTTATCTTTCTACTGGAGATTGATTAAAAGTCTTACCCTGACAGGGTGTGGAGGAAACCTCTGGCACTTTTACATCTATTTGGCATTTACTGTACCAAGTCTTTGCCCCCTTTGTTTTATTTAGAGCTGATGGGCATGTCTTTGGAATTGTATTTTTGTAAATAACACAGTTAAACAATTTGTCTCAGCTGTCATCTTCCTGTCAGCATCTTCTGATGTATAGATCCAAGCAGATGCCACGAGTTGCTGTTAAACAAATGAGATGGTTCTGTATTGTTTGAATGTCTCAGTTGGCAAAAATCAATATAGGTTCTGTTCTGCATGAGTGTTCATTAGTGTGAACCTTCTAATGCAGAGGTGCAATACATCACCACAGCCCCTCATATCCAGTGTGTATTTTTCCTCCCACTCCTTTGAGGGTGCCTAACCTAGTTTTTCTTTCCTTCTGATTTATGCTGGCTGCAGCTCTGCTAACACAGGTTCACAATCTGCATGTGGAACACAGAACCATTTCTCTGAACGCATTAGGCTCTGAACAGTAGAGCACGGTTAACAACGGCGACTGTATTGCTAATGCTGCAGAAATGTATTTGTAGCTTTGCACTGTAATTGTGTGAGAGAAGTGGAACACATGAACAGACAAAGCAACATGTGCACAGTATAGGATTCACTTCCTTTTGCCCTTTTTTAATTTTTGCTTCAACTGCTTCTCCAGCTTCGTCTGTGTTTGTTGCAGCAATGAATATATCCCAATGTACTTTACATAAGCCATCATCAACCTTCGCATATTGCCCTCTACTCACCAGAGAGAAGACTGAGTAGTTCWCTCAGCATGTTGCAAGACTTTTTGGGCCTGAAATCAAGAGGGCACTGTTTGTAGCTGTTATCTCTCTGAATTTATTTATTTCTACAAGAACATTCTGTTAGTCAAAAGGATATTTTGGTCTATTTTTGTCTCATGTTTGAATAAAACCACCATCGGACATGACTGATATGACTGGTGCAGCCTGTTTCTGTACTTCTGAGGCTCTGAGCCTGCTCCACTCCCTGATGGCTGTCTGCATCATCGAACATAACCAAACACCTGTAAGAACATGTTTGGTGTCAAAATAACCTTGTATTTTATTTATTTTTTGTTTGTTTGCTAGTAGGGGCGTAACAATACATCGATCTATATCGATATATCGATTTGAATGGTTCATGATTCAGTTATTTTGAGGTATAATGAAAATATCGATCTATATCATCATCATAAGCTTGATGGGAATCAATGTCATATGCCCATCTAACACAGTCATTGTGTTAGATGGGCATATGACAGGGCTATTCAACTAAACTGCTCCGAGGGCCACAGTTACTGTAGGCCAACAGCTCAGGGGCCGGACATCCAGCAATTAAAGGCATTATGTAAATAAACTAAGTATTACAATATCTGTTACCTTTGACATAGTTTATTTTGCTGTATTTAATCATAAATACAACATACAGAACCCTATAAAAATATTGATAATCAAACAGTATCACAC